TTTTTTTTTTTCACATTGTTGTGGCTATTCCAGGGCCTTTGATAGTCTATGTAAATTTTAGGATCAGCTTTCTCTTTTCTGTAAACAAAAGATATTGAGACTTTAATAGGGATTATACATAATATATAGATCTCTTTGGGGAGAATTGACATCTTAACAGTATTAAGTCTCTCAATCCATGAACACAAAACGTTTTTCCATTTATTTAGACATTCTTTAAACTTTTTCAGCAATATTCAGCAAAACACAACTGATGTCTCTATGTCGCTTTTGTATGGTGAAAATTTACTGTTTATTAGCTGCAATAGATTTTTTGTGAATTCTTTATAATTTTCTTTTAAATTTTTTTTTTCCTTTCAAAATATTAAGGTGGTGCAAAAGGTTTTGTTACATGCATCTACTCTATAATGTTGAAGTCAGGGCTTTCAGTGTGCCTGCCACCAGGACAATAATGTTCATTGTACCCAAGAGGTAAGTTTTTATCCCTCATCTCCTTCCCACCTCCCTGCTACTTAGTTCCCAATGTCCTTTACATCTTTTTGTGCCCATGTACACCCATCATTTAGCTCCCTTATATATTTTCTGTGTATTAGAGATGATGTCATCTACAAATAGATGGCTAAAAATTTAAATGGCGTTTACTTCTTTTTCTTGCCCAATTGCTCTGGCTAGAACTTCCAACATCAGTGGTGAAAGCAAGCATCCTTGTCTTGCTCATGATCTTAGGGGGAAAGTTTACTTTCTCCTTTGAGTATTCACCATTCAGTATGATAGGAGCTGTGGATTTTTCATAAATGCTCTGTGTATGAGGAAGTTTCCTTTTATTCCTAGTTTTCTGAGTGTTTTGATCATGAAAGTGTATTTAATTTTGACATATGCTTTTGCTGCATCAATTGAGATGATCATTTTTTTCTTTCATTCTATTAATGTGATTTATTGCCTGGATTGATTGTTCTTTAGCATAACACTCTTACATTCCTGAAATAAATCACATTTTGTCATGGTGTGTGATTCTTTAACATGCTGGTAAATATGATTTGCTAGTATTTTATTGAGGATTTTCCATCTATATTCATAAGGAGTATTCTGTTTTTTGTTATTGAAAAATATGTATATTCTGCCACATAATATTAAAACCCCACTATGTTTGTGTCTCTCTTTGTGTATATATATATGTCTATGTGAAAATGATTTCTTGAATGCACCATTTTCTTGTATAATGAACCACATTATATATTTTAATGTTATGTCCTCAAGATCAGCCAGAGGGGACAAATTAGGGCCTTCTTAGATTTTTCATAGACATTTTCATAGTCATGTACTTGTGTAAGGCTTTTTAGCTTCTCAGGAACATTTCAGAGCTTTGAGAAATCTTCTGTGATCAATTAATTCCCCAATTTTTCCCTTTGAATTTTTTAGTCAGTTTCTTGCTAGCCCCAGTTGTTATTCCTGCTCCTGGGAGATGTGATGTTAAACATTTTTTGTTTATTATTTTTGACTAATAGTTTGACAAAAATCTTGTTCAGAATGAGTGAGCTTTGTGTCAGGTCAAATACATATGAACATTATGAGAAGGGATTGCCTGGAAGCTGCCATCAAGTGTCCATTAATGGATGGATGAATTAAAAATGTTCTATTTATATACAATGGAATAGATAACTAGAGGTTGAATCCATGAGAAACTCTATCAAGGATATTTTTAAATGAGAAATTAAATATCTTGTTAGGACTAGGGAGAGGAATTTGGGGAGAGAGAAAGGGGGAGAGAGAGAGAGAGAGAAATAAAGATGGGATAAAAGGATAAGGACAAAACTCCAGGTATTTATCAGGAGCTTAGCAATTTAATTTGGAAGTGAGAAAGTAAATATACTCTATCAGTGTAAATAAAGGAGTAGAAAGTTTGGGAAAAGCAAGAGAGCAGCCATATACTCTTGCTCTATTATCTCAGTATAAGGAGAAATAAATTGGGAAGAATTCTCCAGAGTCTATTAATTGAACTACATCAAAGTCTCCAAGACAGTGGTAAACTCTCTTTTGTCTCATCATAAGGAGAAAGAGATTGAAAAGAATTCTCCAGAGCCTATTAACCAAACTATATCAGGATCTCCAAGATACTATGGTCCCCATTACAGGGGAAACAAGGCTACAAGTAAAGTATATGCATTTTCTATTTGGCATGATAAATGGTGTTCCTTAAGAATCTGACAAGGGACGTTTTTTTAGAGATTTGGGATAAAGTTGGGTAAGTTATATTGTGGTTAGACTGTGACAAATAGCAGGAGAGATGGAGAAAGAGTTTATGCCAAGCAAGTAAGTACAGAGAGATGGAGGAAAGGTGAAAGTATAATGACAAGATGAAGAAAGAATGCACAGTCATACTTACAAATTCCTGAGGCTAGACTTTTATCTACATTTACCTATGATCAGCCAAAAGGGTGAAAGCTAACGAGAAAGGAATTGTACTAATATATTTTGTATCAATTTAGCTATTGTTTCTGACCCAGTGTACACATGCACACATATGAATAACGAGGAAGAAAGGACTAGCTTTTTCTATTTTTTAGGACTGTTCCAAGTATGGTAAAGGTGATCAAAAATACATTTTTGAATAAATTAATTCATGAATAAATGAGTCACGAAGCATAGCCCTGAGGAATAGACTTTTGTGAAAATAGGACCCAGGGCTAGAGTGATAAAGCATCTGTGAAGGGGAATACGCTGCATGATAGCAGAATGGTCATGAGATTGTGACATTAGATAAAGATGAGAGAAAAAGGTGTACATTATCCTTTGTTATTTTCATCAGTTCTAGGATGTGGGAATGTGGATGTGTGGAGTGTGGTGGAGGTTGATGGAATAGGGTAGAGTAAGAAGATGACACATTGAAAAAACGGCTGCTACATAGCTGAATATAATCCCATATAGCAACTTCCTATTACAGGGTCAAATGAGAGGCTGGGACACAGACTTATTTTTGGAACCCAGTAGAGAGTGGAAGCTATATGAATGTATGTTGAAATAATAGTCAGTATACTTTTATAGAGTAATTAAGTGACGGGTTGCTTTGACCAATGTTTACAGATTTGGAAATGATGTCCCAGAGAGGAGGGAAGCACTAATTTTTAAGCCCTACTGTAAAATCCACAGAGATGAGTGGGATAAGTTGATTTCCTGGGGGTGTAGGCATATTTTATTTTCTTGCTTTTACTGTATGGACCCTCTCAGCATTACCAAAGCACCAAGGAATGAAGAGTCTGTCTGGTCATCAATATACTGAATCTCTGGATATGGTCATTTGTCATTGAGAGGATGCCTGATTCCTTTTTTTATGTCTTGACTGGTCACTATGTTTTCTTTTTCCACACTTTGTCCCTGATCTTTATTCCATCTATAATAAAATTTTCTTTCTATGAGTCTTAGCATAAGTCTAACCTCCTCCACAGAATTTTTCTTGACTCTTGACCTCTATACTTAAAACACCCTGTGTATAATTCTACCATAGTACTTGGAGTACAATTTTTAAATTTAATCTTTAGAATTTTATCTTTTTATTACACAGTGGTCTCCTTGAGGGTACATGACCAGTTTTATTAAATGTTCTATTCAAAATTTCTGATCAACACTGGTACAGAGAGAACCTCTGAAATATTTTATGAAATAAATTGTGGAAGGTATTTCTCTACCTACCTTATGCATTCTCCACTAATGAAAAACAGATTTAGACCTTTATCTCTAATAATTTCACATGGCAAAACTGAAAGCTTCAACTTTTTCCTTCCCAGCCCAGCATTCCAAGTTTACACACACACACACACACACACACACACACACACACACACTTCCTGTAATGATTTCCCAAATTATCAAATTATGTCTCATTTTTTTCTATTCTTCATAGGCTTCAAATGGGCATTGTTAGCAAGGCATTTGTGTTATCATAGGTTTACAGTATTAGTAGAAACTGCTAACATTCATATATATTTATCCATTCTGGGTGCATCTCAACTCTGACTTCCTCCAACACACAAGTATTCTCAAGTTCGAGTCAAAGCTTTCTGTGCAATTGCCACATCACATTCAACCAATTCCACATTATCTTTAAAACTAGCTTTTTCCAAATGAGTTGCACAGTATTGCACTTCTCCCGTATTTGCTTCAAATTTTAAATTTACTATAAGTAAGTTCAGAATTTACTATAATACAGTCATCCATAAAAACATAAGAGCTGGCACAGAATATGTGTAGCAATTAAATTATAGGATATCTAAAATGATTCTGCTTTCTCTCCATGAATATATTTGGAAATTGTATAGCCAAGAATATTTAGTCTGCCCCACAAAATTTGACCTCTCTCTGGCCAGAGTTTTTACTGTATGTGTTTACTTATGTATTCTCGAAATGATAGGCTTATCTAGATTAAAATAAACTCTCAATTCCTTTCATTATAACTGCAAAATACTGTCAAGTTCTGCCTCTCTGTTTTTATCCATTTACTAAGTCTAATGAGTGCTTCTTTTCTCAAAAACAAGTAGGAGGGGAATGAAATTATTTATTTTCTAAACTGTAAAATTTAAATTACCTGCTGTTCTTTCACTTCTAAATCAATTTGTCTATTTGTGGAAATTTTAAATTGAGATCTATTACGTGGCAGACCTTTTTCATGTATATGAACAAAGATAAATTGTTTCTTGTACTCTCAGAAGTAGATTGTCTAGTATTCATGAACACTCATAAAATGGATAAACATACATAAACAGGATTATGCATGATATATTTCAGGGTTTTAGTTTTTTAAATAGAGGAATAGTTGAAATTACAAATACCAAAGAAATTTCCATGACTATTAAGCAAAATCAGTGTAACACTACCATATGCATAGGCCCTGGAACTTTGTTTTTCCCATTTATTCCTGGCTACATTCCAGATTTTGAATTTGCATTAGGCAGATGACATTGTTCTGCCATCTCTTCTTTATATAAGTCTTTGTTGTGGGTAAAGGGGCAGTAGAGTAAGGCTGGTTCTATTCCTGGTAGCATATGATGATCAGGAGAGGCTTACAGAAACTGAGGAGAGTATTTTACCTTAGTTGTGGATAGGAATAAATGAAGATTAAAGTGTTATTTGCATTTGACCAGGAATTTGAACATTAGGAGAAGTGGAAACAAGAATCACTAGTGGAAAGTCAATAATTGCTTCTGGTATACACAACGATATTTGTGACAGAAAGAATGTCAATGCCTAATGACACCCAGTTCCATCCTTCTTCATTCCTACTGCTGGGCATCCCAGGGCTAGAAGATGTGCACGTCTGGATTGGATTCCCGTTTTTCTTTGTGTATCTTGTTGCGCTCCTGGGGAATGCTGCTATCTTGTTTGTGATCCAGACTGAGCACAGTCTCCATGAACCCATGTACTACTTCTTAGCCATGTTGGATTCCATTGACCTGGGCTTGTCCACGGCCACCATCCCCAAAATGCTGGGCATCTTCTGGTTCCATCTCAGGGAAATATCTTTTGGAGGCTGCCTCTCTCAGGTGTTCTTCATCCACTTCTTCACTGCCATGGAGAGCATTGTTTTGGTGGCTATGGCCTTAGACCGCTACATTGCCATTTGCAAACCCCTTCGGTACACCATGATCCTCACCAGCAAAATCATCAGCCTCATTGCAGGCATTGCCATCCTGCGGAGCCTGTACATGGTGGTTCCACTGGTGTTTCTGCTCCTGAGGCTGCCCTTCTGTGGACACCATATCCTCCCTCACACTTACTGTGAGCACATGGGCGTTGCCCGTCTGGCCTGTGCCAGCATCAAAGTGAACATTATGTTTGGCCTTGGCAACATTTCTCTCTTATTGTTAGATGTGCTCCTTATTATTCTTTCCTATGTTAGAATCCTCCATGCAGTTTTCTGCCTGCCTTCCTGGGAAGCTCGACTCAAAGCTCTCAACACCTGTGGCTCCCACATAGGTGTTATCTTAGCCTTTTTCACACCAGCATTTTTCTCTTTCTTGACACATCGTTTTGGACATAATATCCCCCAATATATTCACATTTTCTTGGCCAACCTATATGTGGTTGTTCCACCAGCTCTCAATCCTATAATCTATGGGGTCAGGACCAAGCAGATTCGGGAGCGAGTGCTGAGGATTTTCCTCAAGACAGATCACTAACCATTTGGAGGTTGGAAGGTCACACTTATTCATGTTTTTTCCATTATTAAAAGTAGAGTTATCTAATCTAGTAGAAAGAACGAAGGCAGATGGGAATGTTGCAAGCAATAACATTATTTATCTATGAATTGAAGCTTTTGTCTTTAAATGTAATAATGAGAATATTGGAATTTGTATAAAAATCTACCACTAAAAGTTCCTTTATTTTTAAGCTAGATCCTCAAGACAGTCCTATGAAGTATATATTACTTTTTTCACTTTTGCAATGAATACATTGATGTTTCAAAATATGTAATAAGTAATTTAGTCATATTCCATGTTTAATAAGAAGTAGTAATTTAAGACAAATATTTTGCTAAATTTTAATCATTTTCTCTCATTCTAGGGTGGTCAAGAATACAGAATAGCACTGCTACTTTAAAAAATTATAAAAAGAATAAGTGTCTTCCAGGATTTTTAACAATAATAGCTTAACCTATCATATGATTATATCAACTCACTATAAACACATTATATATATAAATATGTATATATATATAAAGAGAAAGAGAGAGAGTTTTACTTTAAACACACTGTGCTTACCATAATCCTACTTAGTAGTCAATATAATTCCCCCAGTGGTCATAGAGAAGAAGGCATAGTCATGAACTTAGAAACTAACATGAAGGAAAATGGAAGTAATGGAGTCTACGTGAAACACATGCATGCATAAATAAACATACATTTATTTGCTCATTTATTTATATTATATAGTACACTCATTATATATATGCATATATATAAACTTCTATTATATTTGATTGGTTTTGAACAACAGAAAGATGTAAAGACACAGTCTATTGTTTTTAAGTACTTACACTGGGAAAGAAGAAATGATAATAAATTAATCCTAAAGTATCACCAAAAACACACTTTTCCTCAGGGGATTTGGAAGATGTGTGGTTATTAGCAGTTTCATTCATAGAAGACTCAGAAAGAATTTGGAAGATAGTTTTAGGAAGAAGACCATGAATACATGCTCTTTTTGCTGCTTTTTCTGTAGTTTACACAGTTAAGATACAATATTAGGCAGTAGACTACACAGCTGGCATGTTGAGAACTATAAAGCAAAGATACTTAAATTTAGCTGTGACTCAATGATCTCCTAGAGAAAGCACCCATTAGGTTACTCACTGGGCAACCAGATAGAAACAGAATGTACTGTGCAGGAATGGCTTTTGCCATCTATCCATAGATACCATGAAATAATTGAGCACTCTCTATTCTTGGAAGCATGGAGTCTACTAGGGATTTTCCAAGAATGAGGAGTTGAGCTGAGAGTTTGTCTCTTTGCTTTTGGGCTTCCTCAAAAGGGAAATGTGTTAAAACCAGACCTGGTGCAGTTACTAAGACTCTCACGTGGTACAGTGGTTATCTTGGCAGGAAAAAAGATAAAGATGCTAATCAAATTGATAAAGGCCAATGTTGAGGTATAACAGAGAAACTAGAAGGCATTTGTGCGCTATTGCATTCTGGCCCGTCCCCAAAACCTCCAGAGTACAAGGATCTAGACTCAATTTCTATCATTTTCCTATGGTAGATAATAGGAAGTGATTACATGGCAGATCTCCCTCTCTTGGTCCAGATAAACTTTTAGTTGTCATATAAATCTTTTTTCTTCAGGGACATAGCAATGACACAAATCAGGCATTTACTTGCAGAAGTTAGGCTGGAAGGCTGTGGAAGTGCTCATGGTTCCCTTCTAGATAAAATTCTCAGACCATGGTAAAGCAGTTGAGTATATTCTAAAGGAAGTTTAGTGGTCAAGGCAGGGCCAGGGGAATTTGGTGACATAAAAAGCTCAAGCCTAAGGGAGTAGTAGGAAATAAGGAGGAGCAAAGGCATACCAAGGAGTACGGGTAGAGAGTAAGATCCCAGAAAGTAAGACAACCTGCATGGAATTTAGAGGAATTATAAGAATGAATTGTTGGGTACATATTCTTTCACAATCACATTCAGAGAAATATACCAGACAAACATAAAATATATCCATTTTTGTTTTTGTTTTACTGTCTTCTTTTAGTTTTGCTTTGTGTTCCTGTCTCTGAATAAATAGTTTTAATAGTTTAACAAATGTATTTGTGTGTGTGTGTGTGTGTGTGTGTGTGTGTATTTGTGTTCATATGCTCTTGGAGGAGAAAGGGTAAATGGCAATTAAATTGATCTGTGTGGATTGAATGCATAGTATGTATTAGTTTAAATGCATTATCTGAACCCACACTTTCTTTTTTTTATTTTAGCGTATTATGGGGGTACAAATGTTAAGGTTACATATATTGCCCATGCCCCCCTACCTCCTTGAGTAAGAGCTTCAAGCATGTCCATCCCCCAAACGTTGCACATCTTACTCGTTGTGGTTGTATATACTCATCCCCTCCTCCCCCTCCTACCCTCCCGACACCTGATAAATGTTACTCCTATATGTCCACTTAGGTGTTGATCTGTTAATACCAATTTGTTGGTGAGTACACATGGTGCTTGTTTTTCCATTCTTGAGACACTTCACTTAGTAGAATGGGTTCCAGCTGTATCCAGGATTATACATGAGGTGCTATATCACCATTGTTTCTTAAAGCTGAGTAGTACTCCATGGTATATATATACCACATTTTATTAATCCATTCTTGGATTGATGGGCACTTGGGTTGTTTCCACAGCTTTGCAATTGTGAATTGTGCTGCTATAAACATTTGAGTGCAGGTGTCTTTTTCATAAAGTGACTTTTGATCTTTTGGGTAGATGCCCAGTAGTGGAATTGCTGGATCAAATGGTAGATCTACTTGTATTGCTTTGAGGTATCTCCATATTGCTTTCCACAGAGGTTGAACTAGTTTGCAATCCAACCAGCAGTGTAGGAGTGTTCCTCTCTCTCTGCATCCACGCTAGCATTTGTTGTTTGGGACTTTTTGATAAAGGCCATTCTCACTGGAGTTAAGTGATATCTCATTGTGGTTTTGATTTGCATTTCCCTGATGATTAGAGATGTTGAACATTTTTTCATGTTTGTTGGCCATTCTTATGTCTTCTTTTGAGAAGTTTCTGTTCATGTCCTTTGCCCATTTTTTGATAGGGTTGTTTGATTTTTTATTGCTGATTTTTCTGAGTTCTAAATAGATTCTAGTTATTATCCCTTCATTGGATGTGTAGCTGGAAAAAATTTTCTTCCGTTCTGTGGGTTGTCTGTTTGCTCTCTTGACAGTTTCTTTGGCTGTGCAGAAGCTTTTTAATTTGATCAGGTCCCATTTGTTTATTTTTGTTGCTTAAACCCACACTTTCTACATAGTTATAGGCAAGACTTTTTCTCCTGCCTCCATGTTTCAAAAAATCTTTACATCTGGTATGGGATAGATAGGCATATAGCATATATTAAATACTATTGCAGAGTTATAAATCAAAAGATGGACTTATGTATCAAGTAAGATGTGGTATGCAGGGTTTATTTGGGGGATAGCAGATCAATTCTTTAAGATATGACCTGTCTAATGAAATATGAATAATGAAATAAGTTACTAAATAAGTTACTAAGTATTAAAATGGTGATTATGAGAAACAGAGGAAGTTGGACAGTTGGAGGGCACATCCCAGGCCCAGGAAATGTGAAACGGCGCATTAAATTCAAAGAGTTTCCAATGTTGATTGTGCCATGAATGTGAGGATGAGTGATTTCTGGTGAGTATTTAGATGTTGATATTGGTCTTGAAGATAGACACCTTTATGTACAAAACTGAGAAATTTTAACTAGATGATAGAGATCGAAAGACTCCTTTATGCAGAGATAAGACAGAGTTGGACTTGCATTTTAGAAAACTATTTTGGCAGCTTAGATGATTAGCTAGAGTGAAATTTTTCTCTTAGAGGCTTTACTCTAATGTAGTAGGGATAACTACTTTTGTCAGTTACAGAGTTCTGACAATTTACTCTCCTAGAGAAGCTCCTGACAATAAAGAAACCTAATCCATTGTTTTATCTCTTCTATAGGATACCAGGTGCCTTATCTTTTGTATTTTGTGCTTCCATCAAAATTAGTCACCTATCACCTAAATACGAAGTCTTTATAGGTGAACATAAAGCTCCTTTTCCTCAGACCTTGATGAAGACCACCATAGAACTTGCATGACCTGCATTGTTGTGAACACTTATTGCTGATGTATCTTTAGCCAAGGAATCTGAGAAGTATGAGAATTAATTTCTTCTGAATGACTAACCCAGTCCTTGAGCCTCTTGAAGGATTAACTTTCTAAAATGACAGTCTAGAGCTCTGTTGGCTCTAGAGCTCCAAGGTGGCTTTCAAAGGAGATATCAGGTTCAGGTCTGGGACTCAGATGAGAAAAAAAAAATTGTGAGGAACAGATATTCTAGATCAAAAAGTGAATTTTTAGAATGCAGGAACAGATTAGTCATATAAAACTGAGTGGAAGGAAGCAAGAAAAAAACCATTTCTGAGATCTTAGTTTTTTATACATACCTTACATATATTATCACCTTTGACCCCAGATTTACTATGTTGTGTTTTGTATTTTATTAAAGTGATATTTTTAAAAATAAAGTCATATTTTTGTTTTACTCTTATTTTATTTTTAATTTTTCACTATGTAATGAATTGAAAATATACTTCATCCTTTTTATCTCATAATATGTATACTAAAGTCTCTGCATCTCCCCCTGAGTACTGATTTGGGTGAAAATTAGTAGTTTTTCTATGTAGAGCTTTTGTTTTTGTTTAAATTGAAATGGATTCTAATTTCTGTTTGGGTGCTCATGTTAAGCCATCAATTATTTTAAACTGTGCATTAATTTGCATATTAATACATTTGTAGGGTTGTATTTTATTATTTATTTCAAAAGATATTTATGTTTATAATTTGGTGTGTCATTAAAATGGTAATTTAACTATATTCTTGATGGATTTAAAAGGAATTTTCATTCACCAATTATTTTTTTAAATGTACATTTTCTTTACT